GGTACCTTTTTGGAGTGCATTTTAATAACACTAATCAAAATTTAAAATACATATATTCTGTGATCTAGCAATTCTACTTCTAGGAATCTCTCTGATAGAAACACTTCCATATGTGTACAAGATATGTACAAAGTTTTCACTGTAGCATTGTCTGTAGTACCAAAAAGAGAAACCTGGTAACATTTTAAATGTTCACCAATGAGGAACTGAATAAATAAATCATGATACATACATATAATGGGGATACCACATGGCCATTTATTAAAAAAAAAAAGGTGGGGGGTAGAAAAGGAAAAACAAAATCACGCAAATTGATAATCACAAGAAAGATAAAGCGTAACATCTAGGAAGAAGGAGTAAGAGTACTTTTCACTTTGTTCTTTTTGGTACTATTTGAAATATTTTAAATTTTTACCAGAAACGTACTATTTTTAGACTAAAGAAAAACAAATAAAAATATTTTCAAGGCAAGCAAGTATTCATAAATACCCTTGACCCAAAAATTCCTTTTCTAGGAATGATATACACACTCATGCCAAATGAACTGCACATGTGCAAAATGAGGTATGTTATCAGGCTATGCATCGAGTATTGTATGTAATAGAAAACTACTGGAAACAACTAAAAATGATCAATATGGCCCTTGTAACATGGAATACTGTGCAGCTGTAGAAAGAGGAATAAGAAAGCTCTTTATGTACAGATAAGAAATAATCTTCAAGACAGTGCTATATAAAAAAAAAAAAAAGCATGGTGCAGAACAGTATGTATAGTATATTACCATTCGTGTAAAGCAAGGAAAAAAGAGAATATATAAATAATCACCTGTAAATGCAATCTCTGCAAGGATATACAAAATACTGATAAAATACTGGTTACCTTGGGTGAGGAGAATGAGTGGCCGGGAGATAAGGAGTGACTTTTCAATTTCTATGCTTTTATGTCATTTGAATTTTCTACCATATTGAATATAAAGTAAAAATAATTTTATATCTTTTCCAAAATAACCAAAAGGAAATAGGGTAATATAAAGCATAATTTTAAATAATTAACTAGCATTATTACATAAAACAAATGTTGACACTCAAAACAATAAAAGCAGGAAAATACTTTTAAAGAAAACTTGTGCTTTAGAGAAACCAGACATTAATGCTGCTAAGTATTAAAAGGTAAAGCAATCTGGAAAACTGTTACCTGGGAGGACTCACTGCTCGAAGGTTCCAGGCAGTCCAAGTATATTGGACTTTAAAAGATTTTTATTCCAACATATAAATTAGAACACAGAAAAATTATCTAACAGTTATAGGCTGTTTCTTGAAGACACTTAATTAATGTAGCCAAACTCCAATAAAATCTTGTGCATCAACAGGACAGATGTTGGAATAAGACAGAAAGCATACAATCCTTATTCAAAACCATGGTCCAACTACTACTGAACATACCAATCATCATATTTTGAAAGAACATAAGGGCTGGAGAAGTTAGAGAAAAGACCAACTAAAATATACAAAGCTGTGGAGAGACTTCCATATGAAGCCCAGACTGTAAGCTCCTTGAGGATGCACGTAGTCTTATTCCATGTGACACTTACTGTAGGGCTAAGAGCAGCTTGCATGTAGCAGGTATGCAAGTATTTGTGAATTTGTAGAATGAAGCTATTTAAAAGTTGAACAAAGGAAGGGGATAAATGTCTATATAATTATGAAAATTAAGTAGAATATGAATAATAGGTTATTTACTAAATCTCAAAAAAAA